GGCGACAAGCTGATCACGGTTCGAGCTAAAGACGACATTCAGATCAACAAGTCGTTTTCCCTACCTTGAATGGATGCAACTGAAAAGGACCTTTGAAATATCTTTTGCCAATATGAAAAGACTTCCCCAACAATATGAAGGTGACCCACATGATTAGAAAATATGGATGCCGCCCAAACCAAGGGCTCATTAGAAACTCTCAAGGAATAAGGGAGCCACCAGATTTTAAAGACAATCCTTTAAAGCATGACCTAGGGCATGACCCTACAAAGGATCAAGCTACATGGAGAAAAGGGGAAGTCTCCCCTCTGCAGCTCGAATAAGATTTTCCCAAACAAAGGGGTCCAATCGTCAAAAGCGACTTTAGTCATTAGGTGTTCTCCTTCTGATTCTTAGGGTTTGTAAATCCAATGACTATTAGAGATTACTCCTCAGGGCTAGCCCGACCCCCGAGCATTGTAAGGCACATATTTTCCTATTAATTACAAAGAATGTCATTCTTACTATCTGCTTCTCTTCTTGCTATTCATATCTAAACCTCATTAATAACCATGTTTAAGCAAACATTTTCAAAGTGCGTCAAAGTAATCAAAATGCTCCATTGACCAAAATAAAAATCAAATCCATCATCACTGATTGACTAGAAACACAAAAACAAGGTTCCACCTCATCATAATAAAGTTATGTTTCACCAATGTTGTGCAAAGAGAAAAAAAGAAGAAGAAGCCCATACAAGCTAAAGGCTAAAAAGAAAAGGCAAGATACCCAGTAGGAAACCCACCAAGGGGGCTACGCAAAAGTTAGGGTAAACCCGCTAGGACACCCGAACAACCATAAAGGGTAGCCTAGGCAAAAATTAGGGTTACAAAATAAAGTCCGCTAGGTTTCCCAAAGCAACAAAAAAAGAAACCTAGACAGAAGTTAGGACAAAACAAAACACAACATCCTAGGCTGAAAACCCAAAAGGCAGACTAGGGAAGTCAATCAGTCATAGCAAGCGCCATAGAATAAGACGCCACTCCATAAACAAAACGTTGTTTAAATTAGCCTAAACACTCTAACCAACCTTGGCTAGCCGTGCTTACAAAAACCATTTTTTTGTCAAAATGAAACACTTCTATAACACAAGCCCTTGAATTAAATATCTTATTCCTTCTTTTCTCTTGACCCTTACCACTACGGCATTCTAGTAAGTAGTAGGGAAATGTGAAGATAGTAATCAATAGGAGGATTGACATCCCCAAGGAAAGGGAGGGGCACACTGACATGACAAGTCGCTCTGCAATCAACACAATCATTCTTTGGTCATGGAAAAATCAAGACGGCAAAATTGGTACAACCTATCATGTCGACAAAAGTACATAACGTCAGAAGCTCGTTAGAAGCTCATCAGAAGTAAGAACACATTGGTTAATCCTTTTGAAAAATTAATTGAAATAGCATTGTAGGATGCATATCGCAAACATTGCATGCATATGATAGGCTCCTATCTCTCGAAAAAAAGAAGAGAAAGAAAAAATGACAATAAAAAGAATAATGCCTGCTAGGAGGTTCTTAGGCAAAAGTTAGGGTAGCCCGCTAGATCGAAAACCCGCAAAGGGCGGTCTAGGCAAAAGTTAAGGCATTCATAAAAAAGGAAAAAGCCCACTAAGATATCCTAGGCAAAAATTAAGGCAGCCCGCTAGACCGAAAACCCCAAAAGGGCGGTTTACACAAAAAAAATAGGGTTAAACCAAAAAATGAATAAAAGAGAGGGGTCCTTCATCATAATCATAAAAAGTCCAGCAGGAGAATGCCAGTCACTTTTCCAGATGCAAAAAGAATAGATTGCATTTAGGGCATCCACACACAAGTAGTCACACAAAACGACTTTGTTAATGTCAAAAATGAAAGAAATAAAATTTACTTCAAACAAATAACAAAAAACGAAAAGCATTCATGCATATAAGGAGACTAGCTCCATGTTTGTGATTGAAAACAGGATCACTGAGACTGAGTCTCCAAATAATGCCCTCAAGAAAACGGAGCAAGTCGTCAATCAAGCGACTCAGCAGAATAAGAGCTTCTAAAAATCAAGAGCTCCAGCTACCATCCTTCTACCCAGAAAAGAAGGCACAAGAAAGTAATAAGTCTCCAAACATCGCTCTCCATCAAGAAAGAAAAGCGAGTTGTCATAAGAAGCTTCCAGAAGTCAAAGCTCCAATCATCACCCAATAAAAGAGGGCACAATCATCAAAAATCATAAAAGAAAAGCCGATGGAAAGGCTTAGTTATCCCCAAGCGGATCCTTGCCTACTCCAAAGGCAAAATAAATATTACCCCACGACTCAGCATCACCACTACATGAGTCATCGAGCACACTCACCCAAAATATCCTCCACACTCCCCAATGGATAATAATGGCTTCAAGAGCCCATCATCATCAACAGTCAAAAGAGTCCAAACCATCAAGGGCTCAACAAATAGAAAGAAGAGAAAAGAAAACCCCTCATCTCCAACAGATGACAAAAAAAGGCCATGACAGAGAAGGCCAAATAAAAATCCTCAAGTGGATCTCCTAAAAATCTACAAAAAGAATCAGAAATTCCCATCCCCTAGTGGAATAAGAGCTTCACAAGTTTAGCTCGCATCAATATCAATCAAAGGAGCCAAGACTCCATCCCTAGAAAAGAAAAATTAGATCCCCAGGAAGTCAACTAATTCCCTGGTGGATCACCAAAGAAAGAAAACTTCCTCACTAGCGGACCCCCTAAAAAGAAGGAAAAAAGCCAGCGTAATAAAAAGAGACTAAAAATTAAAAAGACTTACGCATTATCCCCATAAAAAAGCGAGATTTCAAAATCGCAATAAAAAAGAGATAAATCACGAAAAAAGGCGAAATCAATCCTAACTTTTAGGCAATCAATAAAATCCCAAGTGGGTCACCTCAGAAAAGGGAAAATCAACGAAAAAGAAGGAATCAGAAAACCCAACAAGAGTATCGACAAAGCCATCTCATACCAACAACATCCAACAAGGAGTCAAAACTCCATTCCCTCAGGGGGGAAATCAATATTAGATCCCCGGGAAGACAATCAATTCCCCGGTGGATCACCAAAAAGAGAAAGATCATCCACATATCAGCCTAGTCAGAGGCAAAACAAATGCAGCCAAAAGTCTTCACTTCCGATGAAGCATCTGCCTACTCAGAGGCATTACCAAAAACTCAATGGATATCCGCCTACTCAAGAGGCGTCACCAAGATCAACAAATCCCCAGAGGATTCCTACCTACATAAGAGGCACTCATCAAAAATCCCCGACAACCAACAAAGTCGGATGATCACTACCAAAAAGATCAAAATCAAAAGAATCCCCAGCAACCAACAAAGCTGGATGAACACCATCAAAATCCCCAGCGCAGACCGGACGACCATTCCCCAAGAAAAAGACAAAACAAAGACAAAGAAAACACATCTCAACACTAGGCGCATGAGCTAGAGCAGTAAGCTGCCACCAGAACTAAAGGATCGGCTATCGCAAGAAGGAGCATCCGGAGGCATAACACCAGATGGGGGTGTATACTCATCAGGCCTTACAAAAGGGGGCTTACCGGATGGGGGTTCATACTCGTCAAACACCAGATGGGGGTGTATACTCATTAGGCCTTACAAAAGGGGGCTTACCAGGCGAGGGTTCATACTCGTCAAACCAGATGGGGGTTCATACTCATCAGCCGAAAGGATCAGCTACCGCCAGAAGAAGCATCCTGGAAGCACACTTTTCCCCGGAAGATCAACCGCCACAAAGACGGAACATCTGAAGGACAACCGGACAAGAGAGTCAACTCCTTTACCCTCTAGTCGATCTCCTTGGCACAACAGGCCAGCAGTCGACTAGTCGGGTAAAGGGGGGGCAGCTGTAGACCCCAAATCTTGCCCGACCTCATAATAAAGACCAGAAGAGCTCCTTTTTGAAGATGGATGAAGCCTAAGAAGCCATTAGGAGAGACTATTAGGCCCCATACTAGGACAGGAGGGATTTTCGGCATGTAAATAAGGATTCTCCCCTTTTTGGGTCGAGACGACCGTCTCGCCTTGCGAAAGTGGCGAGACGGCCGTCTCGCCACTTGCGAATGGCGAGACAGCCGTCTCGACCTGACAGGCGTGAATCCCTATAAATAGCCACGCCATTCCCCTCATTTCACACAGTTCTTCCATTCTCTCTTTAGTCACCTCCTCAAATTCTCTTTCTAGAATCCCTCCGAAGCATTTCCGGATTTTCTGAGAGCTTTTTAGAGTTTTTATAGCGTTTTCGAGAGATTTCGGCGCTGTAAAGAGTGAAGGGCTGCCAAAAAGCACCCTAGTTTTCAAGAAATTAATAGAAAGCTTGCCTCTGAGGTTTCTACACACTCTCTCTCTCCTTTACCGCTTTATTTTTAATTATGCAATAGATATTAGGGCCATGTAGTCGTAATTTTAAATTCTGCAAATAAAGGGTAAAAGCGTATTTTCATCAGTTTATTTATTCAAAGTAGCTGGCCTATCATAGGGAACCCGAAAGGGGCATCGTAAGGGAACTAACACTTCCCTTACGCGTAACTAAATCCCTTACCCAACTCTGGTTCTAATGACCAAAGTTGGTTTTTCGAAAAACCAACGCCTTTTTACTCCTTTTCCGATATTTCTGGTAAAAACATCGGTGGCGACTCCAGAAGAACCCTCTAAAATTAGTTCTTGGATTAGCCCGGTTATCAGACAACCCAAGAGCGCCCTTTCAAAAACCTCGCCCCTAGGTTCAGCCCGGTTATCGGACAACCTAAAGGCCTTGTAACCACACCAATAAAAACGCGAAAATTGGAAAGTCGGAACCATCCTGTCGCTCCGACCGCCTCGTTTTGACAGCGGCGACAATCACCAACTACCGTTAGCCACCACCGTGAGCTCGTTGTGTCGCCTTGCTCAGCCTCACCCAATACCTCCATTGTCGCATTTAAACCCAACCACCAAACCAAGCCCCACCTCACCACGCTTGTCTCCTCCATCCCCACAACCATCTCTGTAGCCACCATCGCGCCTTCAACCCCACCACACGACCACCTCCATTTCGGTGTCCCCACAACCCACAACCTCCACGATCAACCAAACCACTACGCGACCACTTTCAAAACCACCCAAAATTATCACTTGTAGAGCCTCATTTCATATCCGCTCCCATCCGAAACTATTCCCAACCTCATCCTCTCCTTTTCTTCCTTGCATCTTGTTTTGTCCCTCACGATCTCCCCTCATATTTCACCCCTAGCCTCACCTTCGAACCCTAAATCACCTCTTAGTCAAAATGTCTCCAACGAACAAAGCCCTACACATGCCACACTCGCCCCATCCACCACCGTGTTGCGTCTCCTCCAACATCGCACCATGCATTGTGTCTCGCTTCGCCTCTAATCTCGCTCTTCTGTTTGCGGCTCCCCTTTTCTTCAATCAATTAAGATGTATTAGGGTTAGGCTAAGTTATGAGTTTAAAAGAGATATGGGCTTAAGAGAGGTATGACCTGAAATCTATTTAGGAGTGATAATAGCAAAAACGGGTTTCATATAGTAAAATGAATCTGAAAGTTTTTATTTTAGTTATTGAACCTAATGAGTTTTTTTGTTAAACTTGGGATCAACATAACAAACACAGGTTTCAAATAATAATGGGTTTGAAAGTTTTTTTTCATGTTTAAATTCTAAATAAAAAATAAAAATATGACTCAACTTCTTAGAAAAATTAACTACTTTGGATGTAGTTTGAGCTCATGTTTCATTGGTATAGTTTCTTCCATGTGAATCCATCCTTGAAAGACTTAACAGTGGTGTTTTGAATTTTTTTGATTTGATAACCTCAAACTTGGATTTATTCTGGTTCAAAGGATCTATTCTACTAGCATGTGCAACTTCGATTTTTGCCTTTTGTGTGTCCAATGTTAATCATTTTTTCCTTAAAGTTCTAATCTCATTGAACATGTTAGTCACCACTAATGCTTCTTCATCAAACCTGGTCGGAGATGCTTTGTTGGGATGACTTGGATTTTATTTAGAATTTCTTGAAACTCCCTCTTTTTGTTAAAGGTCTCGATGGTAACCTCCAATGGAGAAGAATAAATGAATGTTCAAAATTCATTTTGTTAAGATATATGTAAATATATTTTTTATTGTATTTTAGGTAAGCATATATTTAGTTTATTACTTTCCTAAATATATGCCCGATATTATTAGTTACCTAATTAGTTTCTTAAGATTACAGCTTGTACATTGTATTTATTCCAAGTCAGTGAATGAGATCAATTGAGGAAAATATTCTTTTATGGTATCAGCTTCTTCTTCTTTGTTCCCTTTCATCTATATTTTTTTTTCTTCTTCTCACCATCATGATAGACAACAAGAGTTCTTTCCATCCCGCTCTTGTAGTTTCCAATATACGGAACCATATTTCCATCACTTTTGAAATGGAGAATGTCCAATACTCTACATGGACGGAGCTTTTTAAAATTACCGCACGTCCTCGTAAGGTCCTTTATCACATTATTCCTCCTGCCAATGGCAAATAGAAGGTACCTGTGACTGAAGATGAAAAAGAATTATGGTCGACTCTAGATGCTAAGGTTCTTTCTTGGCTTTATGCAACCATCTCCAATGACCTGTTGCATGTTAGAATCGCGTAGCGGAATGTTCGCGTGGTCGGACAAAAACCAAGAGGGGGGGTGAATTGGTTTCTTAACAAAAATTAGGTTTTCAAAATTTTTCCCAAATTTTACCGATTAAAAATCTGTGTAAACGTAAATAGAGATAGAGATAGAATCTTACACAGGAGATTTATATTGGTTCGGATCAAAAGACCCTACG